TATTGATGGTCATTCTCACTGGTGTGAGGTGATATCTCATTGTAGTTTTGATTTTCATTTCTCTGATAATGAGTGATGTTGAGCATCTTTTCATGTGCTTTTTTTGGCCATTTGTATGTCTTCTTTGGATAAATGTCTATTTAGATCTTCTGCCCATTTTTTGATTGGGTTGTTTGTGGTTTTGATATTGAGCTGCATGAACTGTTTATATATTTTGGAGGGTAATTCCTTGTGAGTTGCTTCATTTGCAAATATTTTCTGTCATTCTGAGGGCTGTCTTTTCATTTTTGTTTGTGGTTTCCTTTGCTGTACAAAAGCTTTTAACTTTAATAAAATCCCATTTGTTTATTTTTGTTTTTATTTTCATTACTCTGGGAGGTAGATCGAAAAAGACCCTCCTGGGCTTTATGTCAAAGAGTGTTCTGCCTATGTTTTCCTCAAAGAGTTTTATAGTATCCACCCTTACATTTAGGTCTTTAATCAATTTTGACTTTACATTCTTTAGCGTACATAAGTGGAGATCAAAAAGAAGTGTGGTTGTAATACATTGGTCTTACATGCATTCATCTGACCCGTATTTTTGAGCTCCTACTGCAAGGTACCATATTACGTTCTATGTGTAAAATGAAACCAATAAAACAGTCATGTTGTTTGTCAAACTTATTTACTGAGCACATGCTGTGTATACAGTACTTGATGATTTGAGGAGAGACCACAAAAATGGAAAATTAATTCTCTGTCTCTAAGAGAAGACAGTCTAAAACTGCCACTCAAAAGGAGAACAAACCACCCAAAAGTGGTTAAGAACAGTGTTTCCTTTTCTTTTTGCATATCTGATGTTCTTAGGCCATTAAGAGAAATCTTTGTGGGCCAAAAGAATTTGGTGAGGTAGGTCACAGTTCATAATTCATTTTTCTTCTCCCCTACCCTCTACTTGGCTGATCAATGGGAGAGTGTCCCTGGGTGGAGAGAAGCTTGTTTCAGCCCATCTCGTACTTATAGTTAGTTGACTGCTACTCCAAGCATCCCAGCATTTATATTCTCATTATCTGCGGAGAAGAGACAGCAAGAATCCATCAGCATTTGTAATGGTTAATCTCTTTTCCCTATGAAATCAAACAGTTTCCCTGAGGAGCAGTTCTAGTTTGTCCAGAATTCTATACTTCCTGTGTAGCTCGTTGATGGAGTGGATGCAGGCCCACTTATCAGTACAGATAGGGAGGAAAGGAAGGACCCTCTTCTGAACTGTGGTTGTATTCTTCTTCTGACTAATGGTTATATTTGCTTTATTAAGATGCAGCTGAAGCTTTTGGAGGAGTGTTATCAGAAAGAACAGCCTGGCATCAATTATGCTGAAACAATCATTATATTTAGTAGTCATTGTCTAATCTCTAAATGGACTTTATTAAATAAATCCAGATAAAAGCTTAATTCATTCAACTACATGGTGCATTAATGATAAAGCATCCTGGCAGACTCCTGATGATGGAGTTCTGCTTGGAAAATAATTCTCAGTACAAGGTCCATGTGACCTCTTTTTGTGGTCACTGTGGCCAGTTGGCAGTAGAAATACTTAGGGTCTTGGAGGGGGTCAAAATAATTCCTTTGTGCTTTATGATATCACATTCTGTGGTCTCAGCCAAATACTTGGCCATATGCTTAAGTGGCTTCAAATGTTCTTTTGTTGTTGTTCAATGAGAAACATTTTGACCCTTTTCCCTGATAACAGCATAGCTTGCTTCTATGTCACTTTGCTTGAACAAGGGAAGGTTAGCTACTAAATTGTTCATTACAAAATGTTGTAATGACCAGGGAAGTCCATTGGCTCTCATAAAAGTTTGCAGTTTAGGTTTTTGTGAACAATCCTAGGATTTTTACAGTAAGCAATATTTCAGTTCAGTTCAGTTCAGTCGCTCAAGTCATGTCCGACTCTTTGCCACCCCATGGACCACAGCATGCCAGGCCTCCCTGTCCATCACCAGCTCCCAGAGCTTGCTCAAACTCATGTCCATTGAGTTGGTGGTGCCATCCAACCATAAGGTATCAGAGAACTGAAGGAATCATTAGAATTCATAATTTAATAAAAGAATAATTAATTAGTGCACATGATTCAGGTAATATTATCTACAGCATAATACCTTTAACAATTATAACAGTTATAACAATTATAAACAATTAAAACAGTTATAAAAAAGTTATAAATGTAACAAAAGAAGATATACTTTTGTTAAAATTTCCAGTTTTATTGTAAAATGGAAATTAATTCCTTGTGAACTAATTCATGACCTATTTCTGTAACTGTTTCACGTGTGCTTGAAAATAATCTGTTTTTCTCCGTGGCTTAATACCCACATTTATGAAACAGGACGAACCAAAAATATCCAACTCCTTTGATTTTCGTTTTGGAGTTTGAAAAACCAAAGACCAAACTGAAAGACAGAAGAATATGATATTTGTTCCTTTTGACTTTCACTGGCAAACTCACAATGTGTATATCTTGACACAAGCAAGCATATAAGAGATCAAGAAAAAGGAAAATTGCTGTCCTTCCTGAAAATAGATTTGTTACCAGTGAGTAACAGGTGCTTAATCCTCCGTGGGGGCACAATTCCAGCCTACAGAGGGGGACGAGATGGAAATGGAGGAGTAACCACCTGTGATAGTGATTCCGATCTGTGTTTGATCTGTCTCTGACTCCTGCTGGCCGTGGATATTTATAAAAGGGAAGCCGAACCTTTGCTGTGCTGCTCAGACTATCATTGTATGCTTGGGTGGGGTGCTGGTCCTCCAACAGGCTGACTAATAGCAGCTGGCTAGTCTAATCAGAGAGCCAGCCTGGCCACTTAGGAGGCAGCATGGATGCTTACCTCAGTTTTCCATTGGAAGGGGAATTTGATGGTCAATGGCTTCACCTATGGATATAGGTGAGACCCTTAATAGCCAACCTCTCAGGCCGTTCACCATAGAGATTCCATGCACCTTGGCTCCTGCACTAACTTTTCTCATGTAGTCTCTCTGTTCTCTTCTGTGAGATCTCATGGAAGCCACTGTTGGCCTTCTACCTCCTCCATTTGTCATCAGCAACGTTTCCTTCTCTTTCCTAGGAGATCTCAGCCTTTCCAAATACAACGAGTCATTAAGAACTGTTTTCAAAATAGGTATTTTCATATGGGTGTATTTGATCTTATTTATTTCAACTTTGCTATATGTTTGAAAATTATCAAAGTTTAGAGTTGAAAAAAATACATTTTTTTTTTCCTCCCCACAAAGTCAATAACCTCAGCTATTGGCACTGTCACAAGAGGTCTGCACTTTAACTGGATGAACACAGAGAATAAAGTTAACACACCCCAGGAAAGGACAGCAATTCCAGAGTGAAAGAAGAGGGGAGAGTGAAGAAGGTACCTGGAACTCAAGAGTATCAAGAGTAGGAGGTGGCACTAGAATGACTTCTAATATTTTGGTTGTCATTAGAACAGTAGACTTTTCACCATGCGGGGGTGTGTAGTGTACTATGCACTGGAAAGAGCATGATATCAGAAGGACCTGGTTAGAATTCAGGTTTTGCTATTCAAAACCTATTCAGGTTTTACTGGCTGTGAAATTTTGGTTAAGACACTTGACCACTTTGATTCCATAGTCCTCACATGTGTAAAATGCTAATTATAATAATAACACTTGCCACTGGATGTAAAAGTATTGTCACTGGCATAGTAAAATGGTATAGTAATACTCTAAACTGGTTACAAAAATTAGAACATTTTGAGGAGGGAGGTTTACATTTCCACTGATGGTCAGTCACTTGCTCTATCAGTGTTGAGAAGAGGGTAGGACTCTGGAGTGGGGGTTTCTTGCTTTTCTCATTACAGGACTGATTGACTTGTAAACTCCATGTTCCAGTTTGGCACTATTGCTTAGGGAGTCAATCTTAGATGCCGAGACCTTCTCCAGCCTTTCTGATGATTGTGCGTGCATGTGTGCGTACTAAGACACTTCAGTCCTGTCAGACTTTTTGCAACCCTATGGACTCTAGCCTGCCAGGCTCCTTTGTCCATGGCATTCTCCAAATAAGAATGCTGGAGTGGGTTGCCATGCCCTTCTCTGGGGGATCTTCCTGACCCAGGGATGGAACACATCTCTTACCTCTACTGAATTTGGCAGGTGAGCTCTTTACCACCAGTGCCACCCGGGAAGCCCCTTCTAATGACAGTTAGTCGCTCAGTCGTGCCCAACTCTTTGTGACCCCGTAAACTGTAGCCCGTGAAGCTTCTCTGTCCATGGAATTCTCCAAGCGAGAATACTGGAGTGGATTGCCATTCCCTTCTCCAGAGGATTTTCCCAACCCAGGGATTGAACCCTGGTCTTCTGCATTGCAGGCAGATTCTTTACCGTTTGAGCTACAGGGAAGTCCTTCTAATGACAGTAATTGTCTGCAATTCCTCATGACAAACCCCTTTCTTTCCAGAATAGCTAGTTGATTGCTGTAACTGAATCCTGACTGCCTTGTAAACTCTTTGTGGGCAGTACCTCTGTGATATAAAGGAATTATCTTATATTTGGTGGTGGTCGGGGTCAAGGGCAGCAGGGCAGATTATAAATAAATGATTAAGTAAAAGTTTTAGCAAGATAATGACACATACTCCATATAAAAACAAAACTGGAACTAAGGGGATGAGGAGGTGAATGTTGAAATTTTAAACAGTTTGGTGGTCGAAACTGCTGCTTTGAGTAACCGTGGTCCTGGAAGGCCTCCCTGATAAGATGACTTTTGAAGCCCAACTATCTGTCAATTGAGTACAAGACCCAGGTGGAGATAATGAATTAAAATGCAATTATCCAATTACTTCTTTCCTTATTATCTAAGGAAATGATAAATGATGCTATTTCCCACCTCTAGGTAGTTATTTTATTTACCCGCAGCAAACATGGCAGAAAAAGCTTCATCCTGGGCCACCAATAAAGATGACCACAGTACTTCCTGTGCTTGCCCTTAACAAAGATGGAGTCATGACTTCCTGTTCAGGGGTTCTTTGCCTTCAACAAAGATGGTGCTTATGGTACAGGTTCCCTGACAGTTTGGATTCCGGTTGCAGTTTTTTCCCCCCCTAAGATACGTGTTTGCAGACGTAAGTAACAGGAAACTGGCAACCCCCTATCCATCTTCTCTTAAGAACCCCGCGCCGTGGCGTCTGCGGCCTGGGCTCTGTGCGGCTCCCACGCTCGCTGACTTCTCGCGGCGTTTTGGAGCCGGCCGGGTTGGGGTGGCGGTGGGGGTCCCAGGGCCGCTCTCCCTTCGGTCCGTTCTGCAAGTCATTCCCAGCACCCATTTTTTTAGCAGGTCAGGTTTCCCGAAAATCTTTCGTAGTTCTTCCTGTTCCTAATACCACAGAACTTCATCTGGTTAGGAAGGGAATGAAAAGAAGTTCCACAAGGGCGGGGGCCGCCAAGGTGCACACCCCTCTGCTCACCTGCCGCCTCTTAGGGTCGCCCGCCTCGCTCGTACTTTCTGTTACTTTCCGTGTCACGAAGCTCCACCTGCCGCCCTCGCGGCCCCTCCCCGCCACTTACTCTCCTAGCCATTGCTCTGCTCACTGGTGCTGTGGTCTTGGAAACAAGCTTTCAATGCTGTGTGGATTGTTTTGTTTTATTTTTAGTCTTTTAAAGGAAAAGAAAAAACACCCACAACGTTAAATGTCCCATACATGTGTGGCCATGATAGTGTTGTGATGGAGATTCGAAATCCTTCCAGACAAGGGCTGGCACTTGTGATTGTAGATATAAGATGTATATCGTAGACAGGGCATGAACGCTTCATGTTTTCCTTGAAGGCAGTGGTGTATAGGCCTTTTCTTTTAGGGAAAATGACCCTTAAACTTACTGGTACTTGCCGGTTTCTGGCCCCACTCCCAATGTTGGTCAGGTTCTGCAAAAGCACACGGTCTAAAGGGCACTTGCGTGCACCTAAGCCGTTTCTGCGGTGGTGGGTATCTCTGATGACATCAGTGTTAAAAGCACTATTTCTTTACAAGTTTTTTTAGAATGAAATGCTCCTCTCTAATCCTAAGATAAAAGTTGCTTTTTAAGCAGGGTCTCTGATCCACTTTCCCCCAAATCTCTTTATAGAACAAGGAATGGAGCTAGGTTCCCATTGTGTAGAAAAGAAAAACAGAGAAGACGATTCATGTTCAGTGCTGTTCATCATGTCCTGAACCATTCAAAATGAATTCAACTTGGCTTAACAGCCACTGTGGCCTGGTGCTTTGCTAGGGTTCAAAGATGTCCATGACCTTAGGGAGTTTACATTGTAAGACACTATCTTTAGGGGCTCATCAGACTTCCTGTGATCTGAGTTACCATTTTGTCTCTTCCCAGGGGGAAATGGAGGCTAGAGACAAGCAAGTGCTTCGCTCCCTTCGCCTGGAGTTGGGTGCAGAGGTACTGGTGGAGGGGCTAGTCCTCCAGTATCTTTATCAGGAAGGGGTCTTGACAGAAAGCCACGTTCAAGAAATTAAAGCTCAAGCCACAGGCCTCCGGAAAACAATGCTACTGCTGGATATCCTCCCTTCCAGAGGTCCTAAAGCCTTCGATGCATTCCTAGATTCCCTGCAGGAATTCCCTTGGGTAAGGGAGAAGCTGGAGAAGGCAAGAGAAGAAGCCGTAGTTGAACTGCCTGCAGGTAGGCCTCAAAAAGTTCACTCCAGGCCAGCTCCAAAATTGTTGGAACTATGCCCTTTGGATTTGAAGTTGAGATTTTAGTCTGGGTGGAGCTCGGTGAATCCTGAAAGTGGGTAAAGAGTTTGGTCTGAAGGCACATGCTGTTGGAGGGACCAGATGAGGAGATGGAATTATGAAGTGCAGGGAAGGATGGAGAGGGTGAGGAGGGAACTCAGAGGATACATTTAGAAATACTTCCAGGGAAAGTTGGCAGTTCACTTGGGAGGCGTGCTCTCATCTGAGAGCCAGGACATATCTTAGTCCTTGGCATCGGAGCCATTTAGAAAGTGTAGATGGGAAAACAGGCTTTAGGCTTCTTGATAACTGATTCGTGGGGTGCCAGAGCGGCTAGCTGGAAAAGGTCGGACTCGTGAAGGAGACAGTCTCGAGGAAGGCATGCCTTTGCACCTGTTCCCTGGGCTGTCCTGCATGGCCAACGGGAATTATTTGGAAAGCTGGCTTAGTTTGTTTTTAAAGGCATCCTTTTTAGTTTGGCTTTGTTCAAACACTCAGAGTATTTAATTTTATAAGGACATCAGTTTTTTGGGGGTGGGCAGGGGATGTCACATTTTGATTTTAAGGAAAGTTGGAAGCTATGGAAAAGAGAAACAGTCCTGGTGCTATCAGCCTGGCTTGTAGCAGGAAGAAGATGTGATAGGAAATACTTGTTACATGCTTGACATTCCCCTGTCTTATACTTTCTCCAGAGACTGAGGAGCAGAGAACTGAACTGGCAAAAAAGGAAAAAAGAAAGCTAAGGTTTTTACAGCAAAGATAATTAGAACTACTCCAACTTAGGGGTCCCTAGAATTTGTTGTTGCTGTTTTTTAAACACCAATATAACTGGTAAAAAACAAACAAACACAAAACATACCAGTAATAAAAATATCACTTGTGGCTTAGCTGGTAAAGAATCCGCCTGCAATGCAGGAGACCTGGGTTCAATCCCTGGGTTGGGAAGAATTCCTAGAGAAGAGAAAGGCTACCCATTCCAGTATTCTGGCCTGGAGAATTCCATGGACTGTATTAGTCCATGGGGTCGCAAAGAGTTGGACATGACTGAGCAACTTTCACTTCACTTTGTTATTTTTGCCCCATGGTCCTCATATTTTGAATGATTTTCCAGACCACATGTATTAAATAATACTGATTAATTCTTCTCTTTTTATTAATGACATATGTCTGAATATTTGATCTGTACGAGATAACTGGTTGACTTAGGAAGGCCTGTGGAAAAAGCAAAAATATTTTCATTTCATTCAATTGAATTCAATATTTCAGTTTTCAAATTGGATTATCCTTACAAAATAAAATACTACAGGTGTGTGAACAAAGCCAAACTGAAGTAGCTAAGATGTTTCTACCACTTAATTGAAAGCAGAATAAGTAACGTAGAAGTGGGGAAATGGTAAAAGAAATGTTAGGGAGTCCATGTCACATGGTATTTGACTTAGAGGTTCTTCTTGGCAATACATATTTGGAAACAACAAAAGAGGCAAAATGAAAGCTTGTTACGACCAAAATATTTAATTTAATTTCATAATCATTGTAGATGTTGTAAATAGTACTTTTGTATGTTGTTCAAAGAGGTGTGACCCCATTTTCATTTCTTGCAGTTCATTCAAAGAACAATTAAAATTGAAATTATTCTTTTACTAATGTGAAAGTTAACAGAGATGTTGAAGAAAAAAAGTTTTGTTTTTTTTGTTTTTTTTGTTTTTTAAGTGAGCAGCCTGAATCATTAGAGTGGGGGAAAAAACTGAAGTTTGGAAAAATAACATTAATTTGTTAATTCTGTGGAAGTGGTCAAATGGAACAATAGGTTGGCTGCTGCACAAATGAAGTCCTCTTCATTGTTTTACTTCTTGTTGAGTAACACTGCTATTGAAAGAAATATCCTGAAGAGAGAGTTTGATTTATGTAATGTTCTGTGTAACCTCCCACAGTGGCAATTACTCAAACTCACTTTTAAATAGTTTTTGTTAATTATTGAATATTTTTAAGTAAGATTACAAAATATAATAAAGTATGAAGAATAATGGTAAAGTGAATACCTATTTCCCTGTCAGTCAGTTAAAAAAATTTTTGCATGGCATTTGAGGACCCCTGGGTGTCCTCGCAATCTTAGCTCATCCCCAGCCTCCACTCACTAATAAACCCCGAATTTCGAGTTTATCATTCCATTTTTCACTTTGTAATTTTCCATTTTATAAAAATCACTTTTAAAATCAACATATGTTATGGAAAATTCACTACCCCATAGGTTTCAGCACTATCTATGTATGTAAGGCATGGAGGAAATGATATACTTTAAAGGAGTTGTTAGTTAACAGCCTTCTTTATTTGAGACCTTAAACCTTAAGTTTTATATTAATTAATTTGATGGCAATATTTTAATTATAAAATTAAATTAGGACTGAATTGGAAACCTATTTAAAAACATTCTATGAAGAGTACTAGACTTGAAATGCCTTCAGTTTAATGTCCCTGTAAAACTTGCAAATGGACCCAGAGGCCTATTTCCCAGGATCCCTGTGCTTCTTTGGTGTTGTAATGGAGTAATTTTAATAAGCTTTTAAATAGTTCATTGAAATTTTTTTAAAAGGCATGTTTGAATTTTGAGGAATTGGAATGTAGGAAAATGTGGTGCTTATATATATGTGGGTGTATACGTGAACCTGTTCTGACTTCTTACTCATTTTGGTTGCAAATATTAATTAATTTGTGTAGGCTTGGTGGTCTCCTCTTGGGAGGCTTTGAAAACAAATGGGGAGGAATGGCTTTCTCTTTGGCCAAGGGGTCAATCCTGTTTGACCTGAATGAACTGATTTTATTTTATAAAAAATTTTCTTGTTTTGGTCTTCTTGTTTGGTTCTTGGTTTTCCTTTTGTTTGTCTGGTTAATTTTTGTGTTTCACTTGTAAACTTTGAGCTACCTCAAAGGCCATATTTGGTGATTAATTCTAGTTAGTTGCTTTTAATTTATTTTCTGGGTGTCATTTTTTAGAAAAGAATCAAGTTGTATCTTGATTCTGTCTGTTCTTCTAAACTGTGCCGCCAGGAAATCCCAAAACATAAAAACAAAAAAGCAAACACCAAAGAAAATACTTTAAATCTTTGATGGTCTCCGAATATGCCTATATAACGGGTATCCCTATTTTTGTTATTGTGTATTTTTTAAAAAGCCCAACACGTTAATGGATGATTTACTTCTTATTTTTCTCACCTTATAAAGACTTTTATGTTTTAAAAGAGGAATTCTGGTGATAAAATGACTTAATCCATCTTGGCACCATGGAAGGAACACTTCACAGTGTGTCCCTTACTGGCCAAGGTCACACACTAGACACTAGATCAGCTGGAAATCCTCCCTGGGCTCCTGGCAGGTCACTGAGAGGATGAGGACAGTGCCGAATCAGGGTAAACGTGGCATGTGCTTGCCTGCCTGGCTGCCCACTACTCATGGGCCTCTGTCTAGGCTGACAAGCTCATGCAGGTGCCTGAGCTAATCTGGATCTGGAAAGGAGGTTTGTCAGCAGCCTGGTCTCACCAGCTGGTGGGACTTAGCCTTAAGTCATGGTGGGAGGGATTTGTGGGTCCAAGGACTCCCTGTTCTACCATGTTGGCCCGCGCTGTGGGACTGGGTCTCTGCCGTGATTCCCACTTAGCAGCCAGCCTGGCAACTCTTCTTTTAATTCCATTCCTTTTTAGGCTCAAGAGTTGTTTTTTTTTCCTTCCTTCCTCATTGGGCTAAATTTCTGCTTTTATAGTCTCTTAGCCACCAGCAAGGATGAAGGACAGATACCTTGGAATGCAGCTCATCACCTCCTGTATTAGCCTCAGATGCCTGCTGTAGTAGCTACCCTGGGGCTGACATTTGTTGTAGCTTTGCCTGAGCTGGTTCTCGTCATGGACCCTTGCCCTGGCCTGTGTGGCTGCCGTCACCAGAGCAGGATGTAGGACTGGCTTGTTTCCCCTCTACCCCAGAGTCTCCAAGACTCAGCCTGTCCCTTTTGGAGCTGGCCTTGTGTGACCACGCAGAACCACACCATCCACTGTTTCGGGATATATTCAGGCTGTCAGATGTATACTTGGATACACCTGAAGTTCCTGAGCAATAAAGGGAAAAAGAAAAACCTGTAGGTATTGTAATAGGTTTATTAGAGAGATTTCTAGGGTGGGATTTTTTAATCATAGCATGAATTCATACCTACTCTGGGGCTTCCCTCATAGCTCATTTGGTAAAGAATCGTCTGTAATGCAGGAATCCACCTGCAGTGCAGAGCACCCTGGTTTGATTGCTGGGTCCAGAAGATCCCCTGGAGAAGGAAATGACAACCCACTCCAGTATTCTTGCCTGGAAAATCCCATGGACAGAGGAACCTGGTGGGCTGCAGTCCATGGGATTGCAAGAGTGAGACACGACTTAGCGACTAAACCACAACCTGGGTATGGTAAGTTCAGTGTCGATCTTAGTTCATCAGACTCATGATGTGTCCAGACCCTTCCTCTGTGGCTGAGTAGCGTTCACTCTACTCCTCATGCTAAAGGCAGAGTCTACAGTGAGCCTGAGTGTCTGTGTGTCTCCAGCACAATTATCATATACTTCTTGAGGACTAAGTAAGTGCCAGGCACTAGTTAATAAAGATGCAGGAAGGCTCTCCAGATAAACTGAGAAGATCCATTCATTCATTTGGCAAATATTCGTCTTGACCACGTGGCAGACATTGGTGCTAGGGGTACTGTAGTAAACAAACTCCCGCTCTGCTGGACTCCTACTATCCTGTAGTCTCATGCGGACAGACAACAAGGAAGTGAATGAACAATACATCAGGTTGAGAGTGCTTTGAAGAAGAACACCATGCAAGGTGGTGAGGAGGGGCTTTCCACAGTATATTGGGTGGTCAGAGGAAGCTGCTTTGATGGGAGGACATTCAGCAGAGACCTGAATTCTTTAGCAGAG